GCGGTGATGTTCAAGGACGTGGCTGTGGTCTTCACGGAGGAGGAGCTGGGGCTGCTGGACTCCGCCCAGAGGAAGCTGTACCGAGAGGTGATGCTGGAGAACTTCAGGAACCTGGTCTCAGTGGGTGAGGACAAGGCGCTCTGGGACTCGGCTTCATTCCCTTGAGCAGGGTTTCTCAACCTGGCAGTATTGACATTTGGGGTCAGATCATTCTTTGTAGTGGGGACTGTCCTGTGCATCTTAGGCATTTGGTAGCATCCCTGGCCTCTGCCCACTAAGTACTTCACGGTGTCAGGACTCCTAGAGACCCGTTTCCCAGTCCCTTTGGAACATAGAGACAAGACGATTGTAGCCTTTGTTCCAAGGCAAACGTTTGTCTTTCGTAAGTTAACTGTAAGTGAACAGTCGAGTGTGGCTGTACCTGGCTCCTCATTTCATACATCTTTTTGAAGCTCGTGGGTCATGATCCATTGATGGGTCATGAATTTAGTGAGTTGCATCGAAGTGTTTGATAAACACTGCTTTGGGTAGTGTTGGGAGGGGTGGGTAGAGCCTGACATCATGGGATTGGAACCCACATTTTTTAGTACGTTTTACCTTGAATGTTTTCACTTAACTCTTAATCTTTTCACAGGGCATCAGTCCTCCAAGCCAGATGTGATATCCCAGCTGGAGAGGGAGGAAAAGCTCTGGATGACGGCGATCCAGACCCACAGAGGTAGGCATTCAGCGGCGAACTGCAGGGGAGACCTTGTAGGGAACAGTCCCGTCATTCTGCCTTTTCTGGGCGATCTCTTCCCCACACAGCAGCCTGAGAGAGCCTTGGGGAGCATCAGTCACATCATGTCACTCCTCTTCAAGCCCTCCACTGGTTTCCTGTGTCCCTCAGAATAAAACCCAGAGTATTTCAGGTGTCTGGAAGGCCCTGTGGTGTCTGCTCATTCACCGGGCTTTCCCAGTCTACATTTTTCTCCTGTCATTTCCTCTTCCCTTTGGCTCTGGCAGCATCACCTGTTCCTCTGCTATGACGATTATGCTTCTGCATCAGGAACCTCTTACGTTCTTTTCTCTGGCTGGAATGCTGCTTTTCCATAAACCTCCAACCCCTTTCTTATTCAGTCCTGTCTCTACTCAAGTCATTTCATCCAATGCCTTCTCTGACCACTCTTTTTAAAATATCAAAAGTTTATACAGATGGAATCTTATGCCATTTTTTGTGTCTGGTGTTCTAGCATTGTTTTTGAGATGTGTGCTTCAGTTTTTTCCATTGCTGAGTAGTATTTCTTTGTGTGACTGTACCATCTCTTTGTCTTCACCATTTTGACTTGGGTTGTTTCCGGTTTTTAGCTACTGTGACAAAAGCTGCTATGAAAATTCACATTCAGGTTCTTTTTTCTCTTGGGAAACTATGTAGGCATAGGATTGGCTGGCTCATATGGTGGATGTATGTTTAACCTAAGAAATGGGCCGACTGTTTCACCATGGCTCTACCAGTTTGCATTCCCGCCAGGAGAGTATGAGATTTTGGCTGGTATCATCACTCTATAATTTTAACTATTCCAGCGGTTGTGTAATGGTAGATCGTTGTAGTTCTAATGATGACTAGTGATTTTAAACATCATTTCAGGGTTGTCTTTTCAAGTTTGTCTTGGCCATTTGTATCTCTTCTTTTGTGTGGTGCCTGGGTTTAGACCTCTGACTTTTAAATTGATTTGTTTGTCTTAATATTAAGTTGGAAGGATTATTTATATATTATGGATATACACAGATACATGTTTGCAGGAATTTTAATCGCACTCTGTATTGTCTTTCATTTTTTTCATGGTGTCTAAGAGCAAATGTCTTTCAATGAAGCACAATTTATCAGTTTTTTCTTACAATGTATTCTTTTTGTGTCTTAAGTCTTTGCCACCCTGAAGTTTGCAAAGAATTTATCCTATGTTTTTCTTTTCCCCCTAAAAGTTTTACAGTTCAAATCGTGATCTATTTTGAGTTACTATGTATGGTATGAAGTAAGGGTTAAAGTTTTTTTTCCCCCATAGTGATACACAGTGTTCCAGCTCTTATTTGTTTAAAAGACTAACTTTCCACATTGAATCACCTTGGCATCTTTTTCAAATTAATTGGTCAGATACAGAGGGTGCCAAAAAAAATGTATACACATTTTAAGAAAGGAAAAAACTATTAATATTGTAATGCTCAATATGTACCAATAACAAAAAATGAATACAAGTCATGTGTATATATTTTTTTGGCACCCCCGGTATGTTTGGGTCTATTTCTGTGCTCTCTATTCTTTTCCATTGATCTTCATGTAATTTTCAATTCTCAGCAGACATTGACAAGGCGTCTACAATTTAGCTCAAGTCTGACACCCTCTAGCTGGAGGCAGCATCAGATCCCACGGGTTAAGGGCTCAGTCCTACAAGACTGCGGTCCCCCCACCCCACTTCAGACACCAATCTTAAGTCCAGGACGTCACCTTGCTGTTGACCAACTGGCTATAGAAGTGAGATTCTACAACCCCCTCCTTAGGTTCCAGTCAATTGCTAGAGCAGCTCACAGAACTCAGAAAAACATTTTACTTTCCTAGATTGCCAATTTATTATTAAAGGATGTAACTCAGGAACAGTCAGATGGAAGAGATACATAGGGCGAGGTATGTGGGAAGGAGTGGGGAGCTTCCATGGTCTCTGGGCCCCCACTGGCCCTGTGTTGCCTGCTGCTTACAGAGAAGCCAAAAGCGAGGCAGCAGCTTTTGCCGAAGGAGGCAGATTATTCTCAGCAAGCCAGTCAAATGAGGAAAACAGAAAAAGTTCTAATTAGTCTTCCCGAACAAAGGCTTGGGATCAGTTTTAAAAGGCGAGGGTAAAGAGAAGTTATACATATTGATTAATTCTAACTCAGGTGGTGTGATTGGATAGTGTTGGAACTAAGCCATCTAAGGGTAGGGATGTGGAAAGAGTGAGAAAGAAAGAAATTCCAATATGCTAGAGTTTTTCAGTCCTGTGTGGGTCCAGATTTGGTCCCTGCACCCCATCTTCCTTACTGGTGGACGCCGTGCTTCTTAATGGGCTCCAGGTGGTAAAAGTTGAATCTCTGCTACTTCAGTTCCATGCATTTGGGTTCCCTTGTGCTCTTGAGGTCAGTTTGGGTTATCTAGCTGTTAACTGCGCGTGCTCAAGCCTCTGGCACCAGTGTGGTCCAGCTTGGTCTGGTGGTCTCTGGAGCTTGGAGGAGGCTTGCTGTTATCTCCTAAAAGACATTTAAAACTAGGAAAACAAAACAAAACAACACCCTCTTGGGGTCTGGTTTCAATGTTAGGGGCCCGATTTCACTTGCATCTCCTTGTGTTCACCAACCCAGAATCTCCCGGAATCCCCTCCTTTTGTGTTTTTATGGAGGCTCTGTTATATAAGCACAATTGATCAAATCATCAGCCATTGGTGATTCAGCCTCCAGCCTCTCTCCAGACCTCAGAGGGTGGTACTGAAAGTTCCAACCCTCCAATCACTGTTGGTTCCCCCTGGCAACCAGCCCCCAACCCTAAGTGCTTTCCCAAAGTTGCCTTAAGAAAATTTCAGGTGTGCTTGAGGGACTTCTTATGGATAACAAGGCACCCATTTCCCCTTTATGCCTCTGAGGCAATTTCAGGAATCGAGGCCAAAAGATCAAATATAAGAAAAGATGCTCCCATTGCTCTTATTACGTAGGAAATTCCAAGGGTTTGGGGAAATGTGAGCCAGGAACTGTCGCGTCCCGCACGACATGAGCAGTGGGAGAACGAGAGGAGGCGGCGAAGGGTTAAGAAATAAAAGAAACAGCAGTCAAGAGTTAAATGAGCGTGAGGCCAAGGGTCTCCAGCCTCGTGGACTAAGAGCCCCGAATCGGGCCCCGAATCGGGCCGACACACCGCTTTTATTTCTCCACCTACCCGGAAGTAGCATTGTTCTCTCCACAGTCTGTGAGTCTCATTCCTGAGAACTTGCTCAAGCCAGATTACCCATGCCTGCAAGCTGCTATTACCGAGACCGAGAGTCCGCCTGCAGGATAAAACTGATGCTCTGCCTTCACACACCCTGTAAGCATACACCCCAGGAAGATAAGATTATTGTGCTGAGGACAGATATTATCACACCATCAGGTCACTTCCCAAGCAGGTTGAGGGAAGGAATGTAGCCACAGAGGTAGAAAACCTCCAGTCTCTTTGGGGGGTGAGTGAGGGCTCATGCCCACCTCCATCAGCCCCGAGATTTCTCCTAATGGCCTCCACCCGACCGTGCCTGTCTTAGGTTGTTCCTCCCACAAGGAATCTTACCCGTCATTGACTATTGTGGGCTGCTGCATCCTTTAGACCAGCGGTTCTCAACCTTCCTAATGCCGTGACCCCTTAATACAGTTCCTCATGTTGTGGTGACCCCCAACCATAAAATTATTTTCGTTGCTACTCTATAACTGTAATTTTGCTACTGTTATGAATCATAATGTAAATATCTTTTTGTTTTCCGATGGTCTTAGGCAACCCCTGTGAAAGAGTCGTTCGACCCCCAAAGGGGTCGCAACCCACAGGTTGAGAACCGCTGCTTTAGACCATCCATACAAGTAAAAATGATGAGACATTTAGAAGTAGTTGTATATAGTGGGGAATGGAAAAAAAAACACTCACAGCCCCAGGCAAGACACATACTTAGATAAGACCCGAGAAGACCTTATTCCCTCAATCTTGGCTGATCCCAAATTTCATACCTTTGTAAACATAGGGTGTTCTTGATTGGATGCTTTCTTTGTTGCTGTAGACCTTCAATCCCTTTACAGAACTCTTACATATTTATTGTCTCTAATTGTTTTTTTAATGTCTCCATGGGGAAACAAGGGCTTGTGGCTTCCTTGACCACTTTCTTGCTGGTGTTAATCTCTTTGTCCTTAATTCTTTATTCTCCTTTTCCTTCCAGGAGGCAGGAATGAAAATGAGATGGACACTCTTCATGAAACTGGAGTAAGGTGCCTTTCATTGGGAGAGCTTTCATGCTGGCAAATCAAGAAACATGTTGTGAGTAAATTAAGCAAAAGTCAAGACTCCATGATACACATTCAAGAAAAGAGCTCTCAATTCCCCAAAGCACATAATTCCCCCTGTCAGGTGGGAACAGGAATATCAATTCAGGCTCATGTGGAAGACAGCTATATACTGAATCTTATTGAGGGTCATCCCAATATTAACGAAAAGCAAGACTTTCCAGCTGGGAGAGCCCAGAATTCTTGGAGTAAAATATATCTGAACGAGACACAGAATTACCAGAGAAGTTGTACGCAGACACCAATGAAAAACAAATTATGTATATTTGCTCCATGTGTTAACATTTTCGGTTGTATTTCACACCACCATGAGGATACAGTACACACAAGAGATCAAGCTCACAGCAACAAGGACTGTGGTGAAGACCTGTCAAAAGTGTCACCTCTTGCCCAGCTCAGTATAATCCACACGGGACAGAAAACCTACCAGTGTAATGAATGTGAAAAAGTATTCAGTGATCGCACCAGTCTTCAAGTTCATCAGCAGGTACACGTGGGAAAGCAGTCCCTTACATACAGTACAAATGAGAAGGATACCATGCCCGTTCAACCAAGTGTTCGCGCAGGAAAAAAACGCTATTGGTGTCATGAGTGTGGCAAGGGTTTCAGTCAGAGCTCAAACCTTCAGACTCATCAGAGAGTCCACACAGGGGAGAAACCCTATTCGTGCCATGAGTGTGGTAAGAGCTTTAATCAGACCTCACATCTTTATGCTCACCTGCCTATTCACACAGGAGAGAAGCCCTACAGATGTGAAAGTTGTGGGAAGGGTTTCAGTCGTAGCACAGATCTTAATATTCATTGCAGAGTCCACACTGGAGAGAAACCTTACAAATGTGAGATATGTGGCAAGGGCTTCACTCAGAGATCCCACCTTCAGGCCCACGAGAGAATTCACACTGGAGAGAAACCCTACAAATGTGCAGATTGTGGGAAACGCTTCAGTTGTAGCTCAAATCTTCACACCCACCAGAGAGTCCACACTGAAGAGAAACCATACAAATGTGATGAGTGTGGTAAGTGCTTTAGTTTGAGCTTTAATCTTCATAGTCATCAACGAGTCCACACGGGAGAGAAACCATATAAATGTGAAGAGTGTGGGAAGGGTTTTAGTTCAGCTTCAAGTTTCCAGAGCCATCAGAGGGTTCACACAGGAGAGAAACCATTTCGATGTAATGTGTGTGGGAAGGGCTTCAGTCAGAGTTCATATTTTCAAGCCCATCAGAGAGTCCACACTGGGGAAAAACCATACAAATGCGAGGTGTGTGGGAAGCGCTTCAATTGGAGCTTGAATCTTCACAATCATCAGAGAGTCCACACGGGAGAGAAACCCTATAAATGTGAAGAGTGCGGGAAGGGTTTCAGTCAGGCCTCAAATCTCCAAGCTCATCAAAGTGTCCACACTGGGGAAAAACCATTCAAATGTGATGCGTGTCAGAAGCGATTCAGTCAGGCCTCACATCTTCAAGCCCATCAAAGGGTTCACACTGGAGAGAAACCATTCAAATGTGATACCTGTGGTAAGGCCTTCAGCCAGAGGTCAAATCTTCAAGTCCATCAGATAATTCACACCGGTGAGAAACCATTTAAATGTGAGGAGTGTGGGAAAGAATTCAGTTGGAGTGCTGGGCTCAGTGCCCATCAGAGGGTCCACACGGGAGAGAAACCCTACACATGTCAGCAGTGTGGGAAGGGCTTTAGTCAGGCCTCACATTTTCACACACATCAGAGGGTCCACACTGGAGAGAGACCATACATATGCGATGTGTGTTGTAAGGGCTTCAGCCAGAGATCACACCTCGTATACCATCAGAGAATCCACACTGGAGGGAATCTATAGAAATGTGAGGTGTGATGCAGCCTTTGTCTCCGTTGGGAAGACTATGCTGGTAATTGTGAAAAATTCCTTCAGAACTCAGAAACTTTAAGGAATCATCACGGGAAAGAAGCTTTACAAAATGCTGTTTTAAGGACTTAGTTGGGAGATGAATTCTTTATAAACATCAGATTTCGCACATGACAGAAAACTGGTTTTATAAATATGGCCAATGGTTATACTAGAGTTTTGAATGTCATAATTCTCAAGATGAACACTTATCAAAGAATCTTAAATTTCATTGGCATCTACCCAGAAGAAAGGGCTTATAAAAGCAATGGATAGGATTTGAACAAAAGTATAATGATGGATAAACAGTGTAACCTCCACATAGGCAGGGGTGTTTTTCGCTACTGCCTCTCTACCTTGGAGAACTGCTTGACTTGTAGTGGGTGCCCAGCAATTACTAAGCAAAGTGAAGGAAAATCCTAGAATTAGGACAAGTATTTAAAAATTCTAATCAGTTCCCTACCTTAAATTCATACCAACATATTCAAAAGGAATCCTGCAAATAGCCTTAATAAGATTCGTTTCAGGAAATATTGATTGAACTACAGAAAACCATAATTTTGCCATCCACAGTAATAGAAATTTGGACAAGATTTGTGAATGGCTCCCATCCTCCAACCAGCCTCAGTTCTTTATACAGTGTATCATCTGTGTGTACAGTGTGATATTTAGCTAAACATTAGCTTGTATTTTATAGGCTGAAATGTACTGGTTTTTTATTAATCCAATGATGGAATTTGTAAGATTGGAAATTTTGAACCCTAATTTGTTAAGGTAGGGTTTTACTGTAATTGTTTCAAAGTGTTAAAAGTGGTTACTAATGACAAAATTTCAGTAAACTTGAATTGTTAATAATTGGTTTTGTCTCATTATTTCCATGCAGGTTTAAGTCAAATTGTCTTCTCTACACAGTCCTTCCTCCATCCTGACCTCTTGAGGCAGGGGCTTTGGCAGATTTCAAGGACATTCATTTTGTCACATTCCACCCTCATTTTTCCTGCTAAAATGGGGAGGGGGCAGTGGGATAAGAAACTTATTTAATTTTGATTGAATGTCATCAATTTAATTTTGATTGAATGTCATTAAATGTAACAATTTAGATGGACTGTAATTTCCACAGCAACCTGTTCAACACCTCTTGGTACAGATGAACAACATTAGCTGGTCCATATGTATCAAAATACCCTTTGATCTGGCAACCCTAGCACTAGAGGTTTTGCTTAGGAGACTAGAAAAAGTGAGAAAGAGCATACACAGAGATCTTTATACTGAATTCAAAAAAGGAAATAAGTATCAGCAAAATATCTGGATGTGTTTTAATAATATACAGCCATGAAAAAATATTGTAGGATATAGATCCTACAATACAAAAGAGTACATCAGCAGCATGGCAGCATGAGAAGACCTGCAGGTCTCTCCCCTTGAAGTTCCACGTTGAACAGCTATAATTCAACAAAGGATCGCCTACTCAACAAGCAAACTCATCAGAGAGATTTGTCCATTGAGAGATCTGAAGGTGGATGTATTAGGTTGTCGGAAAAGTTATGACATACTTTGTCTGTTTTTCAAAGGTCATTTATACAAAGAACAAAGATCAATCAATGATATATTGCATTTTGTTCAATAAATTTTTGTCATCTTTCAATGAGCTTCATAATTCCTCGTTCATAGAAGGACCTGTCTTTATCGGCAAAAAACTGAACAAGGTGCTGATTTGCAGCCTCATCTGAATTGAATGTTATACCACGCAAAGAGTTTTGAAGAGCAAAACAAGTGGAAGTCTGACAGCGCAAGGTCAGGCGAGTATGGTGGGTGTGGCAACACATCCCATCCAAGCTCCAATTATTTTTGACGGGTGATCAAACGTGTGTGGTCTCGCATTGTCATGATGGAACACAACTCCTTTACAATTAACAACCTCTGGACGTTTCTGGATGATGGTTTGTTCAAACTGTCCAACTGCCGACAGTACACATTCAAATTGATTGTTTGGTTCCTTGGAAGGAGCTTGAAAAACACGACACCTTTAAAATCCCACCACACTGAGAGCATAACCTTCCTCTGATGAATGTCTGCTTTCAATGTCGTTTGAGGTAAATCGTCATGTCGGGACCAAGACCGTTTGCACACCACATTGTTGTAAACAATCCACTTATCACCAGTTATAAGTCGCTTCAAAAAGGATCGTTTTCTTCACATTTAATGAGCATATTGCAGATGTTTATATGCGCCGTCAAATGAACTTCTTTGAGTTCATGCGGAACCCAAATATCGAGCTTGCTTATGATATCCCAGCTTCCTCAGGTGGTTATGAATGCTTGAATGATAGATGTTCAATGTTTCTGCAATCTCGTGTCATGTAACATGGGTTTGACTCGATCAATGTCTTTGTTTTGTCATCAACCTCCGTGGGCTTCCCTGACCGAGGAGTGTTGTTGAGATCAAAATCGCCAGCACGGAATTTCGTGAACCATCGTTGGCATTGACATTCTTAGAGACCATTGTCACCATAAACTTTATGCAACTTTTCACAAGTTTGACTCATGTTCTTCCCTTTATGGAAGTAGAACAGTAAAATATGGTAAAAATGCACAGTTTGGTCTTCCATCTTCAACTTGTAAAATCTCCAAAACTCAACCAAATCACTCAATTTTTTTTTAGAATGAAGCTAGAACTGCCAGCTGTCAAATGACATAGTTGAATAACATAGATGCAAATGAGTCTAGTACTTCCAAAAATGAACTAGTGCCATCTTTTGTAAACATGTGTCATGACTTCTCCGACAACCCAATATCTGAGCGAACAGCGGAGATGGGACAGAGCAGAGGACAGGGACAGATGCCGAGTGCAGTACATCTACTTGCCATGGCCCCAGTAGATGCAATAGCATTGAAGGATGGGGGTGCAAACCCTACTGGGCAAACCAGAGAGGCAGAGATAACAGTAAGGCCTGAGTGGCTGGCACACGTTGAGGCTAAAGTCAGGGTCAGAGATGTGGTGCAAAGGGTCACAGCGTTCCACAGCCGGCCAGCACCAGACAAAACATTCCATAGATGACGGAACCCATCCACCCATCCCCGTGGCCCACTCAGCAGACTGCAAAAGGGATGAAAAAAACTTTACAGCTTAAGTGGTCTGTACTCACTGTGGCTAAACCCACTAGTAAGAGCAGAGCCACAGATATGATCCATTTCCCCCTGTCCCCAGCCAATCCCTCCTCAACCCATCTCTGCAGCCGGGTAGAAGCAGATGGGTAAACTCAGACCAGCTCTGCTGGCAGCTTCTGGTTACAGGAAGGTGGTGCTGGGAACACACAGGAGACCCATAGCCCGCCACTTCCAATCCACTTGAGTGGTGCCCTGAGACTGAGGTGACTGGGTCTTAAAGGGGACACACACTTCTTCAAGGAATGTGGGGCATTTTCCTTGGCCAAAGCTACAACACCCCACAGAGATGCCCCAAGCCCCAGCAGTGCAGATAAGAGAAAAACTTGTGCTTCAGCACCACCTAATGAAAAAATTTCTACATGTTAACCTGCTAGACACTGAAGTGTCAAATATGTTAAAAGTTCTCATTCCCATAAATTCCCAGACAGAGAGATAATCCAAGCACAATGAATAATCAACAAGGGAATGCAGAAAGAAAATGAAACATCTTCAGAAAATTAAAGACATGGAAGTGTGTGATTTAAATGTTGGAGAACTCAAGATTGCAGTTCTGAAAAAAACTCAGCAAGATACAAGAAAACTCAAAGGCAGTTCAGCGAACTCAGAAATCAAAATGAACACAGGAGATTGAAACTATTGACAAAACAACCAAACAAATTCTAGAGCTGAAGAACTCAGTAAAAAAGATGAAGACTAAACCAGTGGGCTTAGGAAATAGACCAGATGGAAGAAAGAATTAGTGACATAGAAGACAGAAATCTAGAAATGACTCGGAAGGAGAATCAAGAGTAATAAAATGAAAGAACTCTATGGTAACTAACTCCTTTAGAAAGGGCACTATACAAGGACACGAGGGGGAGACAGAGAAAGAGAGCCTATCAAATAATTGACAAGAACTTCCCAAACCTGTGGAAAGAATTGGATCCTCGAATCCAAAAGTGTTCTCCAAGGCACATTATATTAAAACTGTCAAAAGGTAATGACAAAGAATTCTCAAACCAGGGACAAGAAAATAATAACCTGTAAAGGAAACCCCATTAGATTATCAGATTTTTCAGCAGAAACCCTACAAGCCAGGAGAGAGTGGAACCAAGTGTTCAAAGTATTGCAAGAGAAATCTCCATCAAATAAAAATATATCCAGGAAACTTATCCTCTAAGTTTCCTGATGAAATAGAAATAATGGCTTTTCCAGACATACATAAGCTCAGGGAATTTACCACCACAAGACTTGTAATACAAGAAGTACTAAAAGATGCTCTTCTATCTGAAATAAAAAAAAAGGATACAAAACTATGAGTAGTATGATGACTCAGACAGAAGCAGAAAAGTGCAACCCTTGTTCAGAATACAGTTTAAACATTTAAATATAAAATAAAGGTTAAAGGAGGTCCTTTAAAAAAAAAAAAGGACAGTAGCTCCTGCAATTTAGAAATGAATACACAGCATAAAAGGATAATTTGTGACAATAAAAACAGAGAGTGGGAAAAGGACTGAATTAGCACAGGTAATGGAGGTAAGATGCAATAATTAGAAAGAGGACTGCTGTATAGGTGAAACCTTTTGCATAAACCTAATGGTAACCATAAAAAAATCTAGAACTGAGACACAACATAAAAAGGAGACAGGAAAGGGCCGGCCGAGTGGCGCGATGGTTAAGAGCTGGCTTGGGACACCAGAAGGCCCCAGTTCGGATCCCACATATGAGGGCCAGTGACACTGCCCTCCACAGCTAAGATGCTGAACAACAGCTCAACCTGGAGCTGGGCTGCTGTGAGTCGCCGGCGACAGCATAGGCTGCAGCCCCTGTGGCAGTGGGTTGCCATGGGCTACCGTGTGTAGCCAGCAGCCGCAGTGAGCAGCCGTCCAGAAGCTGGTGACTGATCTGCCTCATCCAGGAAGAGCACAATAATAATACCAACATGCGCCAGTGAAGCAACGTCCTCCACAACTAGACTGAAGAACAAAAGGACAGCAACTTGTCTGTTCCCCTTCCCCCGATTCCCCAGCACTGTTCCTCTTCCCCAATGAAATCTTAAAAAAAGTATTGATGGGCCAGCGGAGTGGTTTAGTTGGTTAAGAGCACGAACTCTGAGCAACAGGATCCCCTGTTCGATTGCCACATGGGCCAGTAAGCTGCGCCCGAGCTGAGCTGCCACTGAGCTGCCAATAGGTGGCAGAATGAGTCAGCTGGTGAGAGCACATGCTCCTAACAACAAGGCTGCTGGTTCGACTCCCATGTGGGATAGTGGGCTACTCTCACCGGCAACTAAGATTGAACACAGCTCCTTGAGCTGAGCAGCTGTGAGCTGCCAACAGGTGGCCGAATGGTGACTGGACTTGGAGCTGAGCTAGCTGCGCCCTCCACAACTAAGATTGAAGGACAACTTGGCTGTTCCCCTTCCCTAATTCCCCAAAAAAAAAAAAAAAATATATATATATATATATATATATATATATATATATATATATATAAAACAGGTGATTTGTAAGCAGAGTAGTAATGGAGGAATTTTCTATTTTAATGTTTTTATTTGCTTTTACATTATTATTTGTTAAACAAGAGAACAAAAGCCATAAATTAAAAAACAAATGCCCAATACATCACAGACGCTAAGTATTTGTGTCATCTTTCACATTCCAAGAAACCAAGAAAAGATATGGCCACTATGCAAAATGATAATAAAAATGCAACTCACCTGGCACTTGGTCATTTTCTCCTCTTTTGTCTGGGGAAGGCCAGAGTCATGTGAAGACAGACCTGGAAAAAGGAAAAAAGAAGTCATGAGAGAAAGGCCAGGAATTCCATAGCTGATTTGACATCTTCAAGAAAACCAGAGAAAGGCGCCCCTTCCACCAGCGGACCCAGCCCCCTGTGGCTTGGTGAGCAGAGTCTGGGCTGAGCTCCAGCTACCGCTAGTTCAGCCGGGGATGAGAACAAGCTGCACAGCTGTGTCTAATCATCCAGCAGACTGCTCCTCAAAGCTCCCACACCTACCATCCCCAGGCCCGGAAATGTGGGAAGGGGAGGCAGGGGAATGTGTTTTGGTGCTGGCGCCAAAATGCCCGAGTTCAAATCATAGCCATGCTACTAGCTTTGGTTGAAGTGGATTCTGCCATCAGCAAGTTGAGGATTGCAATGGTGCCTAACCTCCTGGGGTGGCTGTGAGAGTGGAGAGAAGCTGCTATAGCCCTGCTGGGAGGGGGGACCCCATTTCCTGGCAGCTGCACAGAAGCAGATGCTATCCCGCTTTACAAAGCCATCTTTGCAAATGTGCTTGCAAGACTCCGAACATCAGAGACTTTCATCTTTGAAAAGTGTGAAATTCTGGCTGGCAGCTTTACTTATTTGTTGCCTAGTAACTTCTTGAACGTTCATATTTGTTTTAGAAAAAGGAATATTCACGTGCTGGTGACTTTTCTTCCTGAAGCCAGAAGAGGCCCAAAGGCCCATCCCCCTTCCCCTATGTTCCAGGACTAACGCAACCTGTGACTTTTCTTCATTTGTCATGTTAAACAAAAACTCTGTGAGTCTCTGTTTCATTGAACAATACTTGAGTGATGACAAAATCTAACCCAGAGGGTGTCCTGGAGGTTTGGGGAGCTTCTGTGTGTGAGGCGGGGCTCAGGGCTTGGCCCATGAGATAAATTCTCTATAAGAAAGGATTACAGTTACGGTTGTTCCGACTTAACAGAAGGGCAGGTGGAGGTCCCGTGAGCTCTGATTTGAGCCTGTGTCGCCAGGCTGCTCTAAAGACAAGTACAGGCGAGCGGGGAACATTCTCATGGAATCAGTGAAAGAACAGGTGAGAAATGGATTCGTTTCCTAGGCTTCTGAAAAAAAAATTAGCACAAACTTAGCTTAAAGCAACACAAATTTACTGTTACCGTTCCGGATGTCAGAAGTCCACAGTGAGTTCTCACTGAGCTAAAATCAGGGTGCTGGCAGGGCTGGTTTTTCCTGGCGGCTCCAGGCAGGAGCCTGTTTCTTGCGGCTTCTGGAGGCTGTTCGTAGCCCCGTCCTCCACCTTCAAAGCCAGGGGCACAGCAGCTCCCTCTGACCACTTTGTCTTCCCTTTATAAGACCCTGGTGATTACATTGGGCCCACCTGGATAACCCAGGCTACATTCCCCATGTCAAGACGCTTAAATTAATCACATAGGCAAAATAGAAAGAAACATTCCCAGGTTTTGGGGATTAGGACCTGGACATCTTTGGGGGGGGACAGGATTCAACTTACCCTAAGGAGTAAAGGACACGGAAAAGAGGGAGAAAGCGCCCCCTGCCGGATGGCCGGCTTGCCAGATAATGAGACGCAGGGAAGGGCGTGGTTTCGGGAGCCCCATCTAACGCTGACTGGCACTCTCTCTGTGCCTGTTGCCTCATCATTATAAGAGGAAGATAATCGTAACTTCCTCCCAGGCTGTTTGTGAGGCATAACGCAGTAAAACAGAAACACACAGGTCAGTGGCGGGCACGCGGTAAGCATTTGAGACCTGTCACCTGTCAGCATTGGTTTCTTTTCCTACTTGGAGTATACCCTCACAACCCCAGATTTCCTCTCCGGCTCCAGGGTCGTCACATGCCTTCTGCTCAGTAACTGGGAGTTACATGGAGATATGACAATTCCAGGTGTTTAGTGGGAAAAACTCACCGACCAAATAAGGGTCAGGTGTGCCTGGCTCAGTTTTGTCCGTGACAATTAGCCAGGATCCCTTTCTAGCCCCGACTTCCCAGACGTGACGTGGCCTTTCCTGAGGCCTTAGGTCCTCCCCTTTGTCCAGGCCATCTTTGCCTCCACCTGGGAGGCCCTCTTTCTCTTCATTTTTCTGGATAACCCTACTCAGGCGTTGCCTCCAGGAAGCCTTCCACAATCCTCCAGGGCTATTTTATTAATTAACCTCCTGTGTTACCTGAGAGGTGATTCTTACTCAGCTTCATATCGCCAGTCCTCCTAAACCTACGAAGGGCAGAGAGGGCACAACGAATGGAAGAATGAATGAACCCACAATTGGACAGGGGCGATATGGATAAGGTGAGGTTCCCAGGTCAGGGGACTGGAAGGCAACAGTTTCACTTTCTGGGCGCTTCCTCTGGGTTTCTAGCCGTATATACGATTCTGAAGCATCTCAAGGACATCTCTGGGATGTCTGCAGACAGTAAACATTTCCTATTGAAGGCCTGCTCTGGCCACCTGCTCCTCCCTGCCTCTTCCCCATGAAGTTCCTGCTTTAGAAAGCTCTTTTTTTTTTTTAGCTGAGCCATCCTGCTACCTGTTGGCAGCTCAGCGGCTGTTCAGCTTGGGCTGGACTCGAACCGCTGTTGCTCAGAGCTCAAACTCTTGAGCGAGCTCTTAACCAACTGAGCCACTCGGCGGGCCCTAGAAAGCCCTTTTATGTTTAAATTTGGGACACTTGCAGATTTCTGAAATGGGAGCACTCTCCCTATTGCACATCTTTTTTTTTTTTAAGATTTTATTGGGGAGTTGGGAGAGGGGAACAGTGTTGGGGAATCGGGGAAGGGGAACAGCCAAGTTGCTGTCCTTTTGTTCTTCAGTCTAGTTGTGGAGGACGTCGCTTCACTGGCCCATGTTGGTATGATCACTGGGCTCTTCCGGGGTGAGGCAGTCACTCACCGGCCATTGAACTGCTGCTCACGGCGGTTCAAAGCAGTTCACGCAGGCTGCCAGCCACTCATGGTAGCTTATGGCAGCCCACTGCAGCAGGGGCTGCAGCCAACGCCATCACCAGCGACTCATGGCAGCCCAGCTCCAGGTCGAGCTGTTGCTCACCATCTTAGCTGTAGAGGGCAGTGTCACTGGCCCTCATGTGGGATCCGAACCGGGGCCCTGCTGCTCAGAGCTGGCGTCCCAAGCCCGCTCTTAACCAATGCGCCACTCAGCCGGCCCTGCACATCTTTTTGAATGATCTCTTATTGATGTCTGAATGTGTTATTTGACAGACAAGGCTCATAAGTTAGACATACAAGGGGGTGGGTGACTGGTTAGCTCAGTTGGTTAGAGCGTGGTGCTAATATCACCAAGGTTGCCGGTTCGATCCTCACATGGGCCACTGTGAGCTGCGCCCTCCCAAAAGTCAACTATGCCACTGTAGCATGAAAGCAACGTGTAACCAATGACCATGGCTGTTCCCCAATAAAATGTAAAAAAAAAAAAAAATGCAGCCAGTCTCTGTATTGACATATAGTGTCGACCAGCTCAGTTTCAGACGGTCCCATCAGACAATAATAAGCCCTTTGCTTGGGCGTTTCCATGTGACCCAGAGGGCCCAGCAGCATCCCTGATGGGTTTTTTCACCTTTTTTGAGATTTACCTTGTAGCATTAGCTAACATCTCTATCTCGTCACACACACATTTCTTCTAGTGCTGGCAACAGATAAGATCTAGTCTCTTTGCAAATTTAATGTTTATAATAGTTTTGTTGCCTGTAATCACTACACCATGTATTAGGTCTCCAGGACTATTTACCTACTAGCTGTAAGTTTGTACTCCCCAGCCCCTGGTAACCACCATTTCATGATTTTGATTTTTTGAGATTCCACATATAAGAGCTATCAGACGGTATTTGCCTCTCTCTGACTTATCTCAGCACAATGACCTCAATGTCCATCCATATTGTCGCATATGGCAGAATTTCCTTTTTTCTTCTTATGGCTGAATAGTAGTCCATTGTATATATACACCACTTCTTTATCCATTCATCTGTTGATAGACACTTAGGCTGTTTCCATATCTTGGCTATTGTAGAAAATGCTGTGGTGAACACGGGGCTGCAGGTATCTCTTTGGTAACCTGTTTTCATTTCCTTTGAATAGGTACCCAGAAGTGAGAGCAGCCGTGATATTTTGTAACAGTTTAGGGTCCCCCACTGAGGACCCCAAATCTGCAGTAGTCCCATAATCTGAGCCGGTGTCATGGGTGGAGCAATTCCATCGCATTCAATCCAGCCCAGCCTGTGCTGGGGCTGAAACAGCTCAGGCAGGCAGCATCCCGTGTCAGCTTAGAGACAGGTCCAGGCAGTTTGGGATCTGTGATACCAAAAACGCCAGCTGCCCTTCTTGCCAGACAGCTGTGCTGCAAGTCCAAGTAAGGCCCTCTCAGCAGTATGCACACAGGCTGGAAAAACATCCGGCTGGCTCTCCGGTCAGGCATCTGATTTCCCAAGAGCTCATTAGCAGCCAAGAAGTGCTTCTGGAAACTCTGAAAGTGTACCTGGAGATGGCCTCTCTTTTTACCTTGCCTCCCTTTCCCTCCAGAGGCTCAAAGAGGCGAGACTCAGCAAAAATCATCAGTTACAGAGACTTAATCTGTTCCTAAAATTTAAAAAGTTTACATTTCACCCCTCCCCCAACCTGGCAGCAGGAAGTAAGGAAGTTGTGGCCCTAACACTTCTTTGCAGCTTTCCGTGATTGGGGTGATCCCTCCAGCGTTTATAAAGTTATAAACATATACACATCTACATCAATTTTTATCATACAACCAGGTGCAAAAGCCAAAAAATACAAAGCCATGCTCTTAAAAGTCCCCTTTCCCCTCACTGCAATTGAACTCAAAGCCCAGGCAATAAATCCAGCATTTACAAGGTTAACAGCTGGGGAGGGAGGTTGTGAGAACTCTGTTTTCCACCAGGAAGCTCACTGTTTCCCTCCAGGCCCCTCCTTCTCACTCTGGTTTGTGTAAAGCTTTGTTTCATCGGGTGAAGTATAGAGGAAACCCATCCAGGCTTCCAGGCGTCCCCTCCCTGGGGAGCCACACAGGACACACTTAATTCCCCCAGCAACAAACTGTGACAACATGTGAGCTGCTGTGAGCCCCCGTGAGTGGCCGTCGAGAGACTGCCTCACCTGGGAAGAGCGCAATGATAATATCAACATGGGTCAGTGAGGCTATGTCCTCCACAATCAGACTGAAGAACAAAAGGACAGCAACTTATCTGTTCCCCTACCCCAATTCCCCAATAAAATCTTAAAAACTAATAATAAAATAAAGACCCACCCTAACAAAGCTTAAAAACAAGGTTCAAAATAATCAAACTGAACCGAAGGAACATGTGACCATCCTGGTATGAACAGAAAAAGCATTTTATAAAATTCAGCATTCATTCATGATAAAAACTCTAAATAAAGTACAACTAGAAGGGAATGTTGCCCCGCAGCTGTCCAGCCGTCTGTCCCCCCGCACTTAACCCTAAACTGACCCTTTTGAGGACACTGCTCATACACCTTGTGTCTCCCTGTTTGGCTCCAAAGGATGGCTGGTTAGTCAATGACGGATAAGATTCCTCATGGGAGGAACAACCTAAGCCATGCACAGTCACATGAAGCCATCAGGAGAAATCTCGGGGCTGATGGAGGTGGGCATGGGCCCTCACCCGCCCCCCAAAGAGACTGGAGGTTTTCTACCTCTGTAGCTACATTCCTTCCCTCAACCTGCTTGGGAAGTGACCTGATGGTGTGATAGTATCTGTCCTCAGCATAATAATCTTTTCTTCCTGGGGTCATTTGCATATAGGGTGTGTGAAGGCAGAGCATCTGTCTTAAACTGCAGGTGGACTTTCTGTAACAGCAGCTTGCAGGCATGGGTAATCTGGCTTGAGCAAGTTCTCAGGAATGAGACTCACAGACAGTGGAGAGAACAATGCTACTTCCGGGTAGGTGGAGCAATAAAAGGGGTGTGTCGGCCTGATTGGGGCTCTTAGTCCACGAGGCTGGAGACCCTTGGCCTCACGCTCATTTAACTCTTGACTGCTGTTTCTTTTATTTCTTAACCCTTCGCCCCCCCCCCCCCCCCACCTCATTCTCCCACTGCAGGACGTGACAGGGAACTTACTCAACCCCAATGGTTGAGCTACCAAAAAACCCTCCAGGTACTGGAGAAAGACTAAATGCTTTCTCCCTAAGATGAAGAGCAAGGCAAGGATGTATACGGTTAGTACTTCACTCAAAATTGGTCTACCAGCCCTATCTAATGCAATAAGGGAAGAAAAAAGAAGTCAACAGAACGGGGATGGGAATGGAAAGAGTACAACTCTATTTATTGTCTATGTAGAAAATCCTGTGACATAAAAAATGTTACTAGGGCCTGCCAAGTGGCTCAGTTGGTTAAGAGCTCGCTCAAGAGTTTGAGCTCTGAGCAACAGCGGTTCGAGTTACGGCCCTAGCTGAGCAGCCGCTGAGCTACCAACAGGTGGCAGGATGGTTCAGCTAAACAAAAAACAAACAAACAAAACAAAACAAAAAAAAGTTACTAAAACTAATACGCAAATTTAGCAAAGGCAAGATACAAAAACCAATTATAGTTTTACATTCTAGCAGCAAACAAATAGAAATTGAATTTCAAAAACAATACCCTTCAGAATAGCAACCCCAATACATCAATCACTTGAGATAAACTTCAAAATATATGTAGAAATCTACACATTGGAAACAATAAAATATAACAGAGAGAAATGAAATAAGACCCAAATAAATGCAAGAAGGTGTCAATGAAAGAAGATCTAAATGCTCATGGGTCAGGAGGACTTCTATCTATTGGGTTATTGGAAAAGTCATGACACATTTTTGCAGTGAAAAACATAGAAAAAATACGTCATGACTTTTCTGACAACACAATAGAATACAAAAAAAACTATTAAAATTCAATAAGAACAAAACTTAATTTAAAAATTGAGCAAAGGAGTTGAACAAACAATTCCAAAAGAAGATATACAAATGGTCAAAAAGCAAAAGAAAAGATGTTCAATATCCTTAGGCATCAGAGAAATGCAAACTAAAACCACAATGATATATCACTGCACTATTGCCATTAGGATGGCTGAATTTAAAAGACTGAAAATATCAAATGTTGGAAAAGATGTGGAGCCAAGTGGAACTCTTAACACATTGCTGGTGAGGATGTAAAATATACAACCACAATGGAAAATGATTTGGTAATTTCTGAAAAAGTTAAACATATGACCCATAGAATCCCCTACTAGTTATTTATCAAAACAAAAACAAAAACCTACGTTCATAAAAAATCCAGTACACAAATGCCTCTGAAAGCTTATTTACAATAGCTAAAACAATAAGAACAACCCAAATATCCATCAATAGGTGAACGGGTAACCAAATTGTGGTCTACTCAAACAACAATATACTATGTAACAATAAAAAGGAACAAACTCTTGATAAGTGTTCAAAACCATAGTAATAAGCAATGAAGCCAGACACAAAAGGAATACATACTGTATAATTTCATTAATAAGAAACTCAAGAAAAGATTAATTTAATCTTTAGTGACATAAAGTGAATCAGTGAGCCAGGAGTATGGCAAGGGGCACAAGGAAACTTTTTGCAGCGATGAAAATAGTCTACATCTAGATGGTGGCAGTGGGCATGTGTGTATATTTGTCAAAACCGATCAAATGCATTTACTTTATGTAAATTATATGTAAATTACAACTGAAAATAATTTTAAAAGACAGTTAAGAAAATAGACAAATGACAGAATGGAAAAAATTATTCACAGTAATATAGCAAAGGACTTGAACTCAAAATATATTAAGAACTCCTTCATGAACACTAAAAAGTAGAAGCCAATTTTTCACATGAGGAAATTACTTCAACAAACTTTTCATAAAGTATATACAAATGGTGAAAACGCACTTGAAAAGTGGGGAGGGGAGGAAAAAGAGAAACAAATTAACATGTTTATAGTTATCTCTACACTTTGGCTTTCTTCTGTTTCTCAAATTCTCTATGATGAGCATAAATTAATTCTATAATCAGAATATGAACATAATGTCACATAAAATAACAAGGAATTAACTAAATGAGCACAGCCTTCAACTCCTCTAAGGTCCTAAATTATTACCAAATGACCCTCCCTCCTCCAGTCATGGGGATTACCATTTCTTGGGGCGAAAGGAAAGTATGGCATGAAGTTCAAGAATCAAGGCTACCTGGTTCAAATTCCTGGTTCTGTCTTTTCCTGTTGTTTGACTTTGGGAAAATAACTTAATTTTTTTGCCTATCAACGTTTTCATCTGTAAAATACAGACAACTATCTTTGTCTATTATGAGGATTAAGTTGATGCATATAAAGCCTGTAGAAGAACAAACCAGCACTTAACATGTTAACAAATATTGTTACTCATCAACATATGCCTCATCCAACCTCCCCTGTATTCTATAATAAACTTTTGAGCATTTGCCCAAAAGAAAAAAATTGCTAATGAGTGAAGGAAGTCTGCTCTCCAAATGAGAGCTTAAATGGCACACAGCGTGTTAAATTCTCCCACGTTTGGACAATGAGACCAGGAGCCAAGGGGTCACTCCCTCCTTTTTGCACCCTCTTTGAGAAGTCAGGGCTGAGAACGGAAAAGAGACGGCAAGATAGCACAATTGTGTCTCTGGTCCAGAATAAGTCACAGTGGACACCCCCAGGCACCAGCTGGCGGGTGAGAGCCACTCCTCCCTTTTAAAAAAAAAAAAAAAGGGTGGGGATGGAGTGGGGGAGTCAGTAGGAATCTAGGAACAGCCCCACTTCCAGCAGGGATCAGAGGGCTCAGCAGCTGGAGCTCAGAACCCACCGTGGGCTCAGCACAGAAGCTTTCAGGGACTGAGCGCTTCTCGGAAAGAAATAATGAATTGGTAACAACCGACCACCTTTTAACTTGTGCCAGGATCGCTTCTAAGCATTTTTACATCTTTTTATTTCACCTATATCTCACAACTCGCCTACTAGGCAGATACTACTATTAACTCCACTTTACAGAAGAGAGACAGAGAAATTTCATAACTACAAAGATTATATCACCATAAGGCAGCAGAGCGAGCGGAAGATGGGGGAGGCGAGGGAACCCGAGCGCCCAAGAGACCCTCAAAGTTAGAATCCAGACCCCAGCCCACCCCCCCACACGGGATGCACGAATCGCCCTAAACGCCAAGATGATGCAAACCGAGGTCCCTGCCTTCAGCAGCTTCTATTCCCTGAGGGCGCGAGCGGCACCTGCGAGTCCCAGGCCCAGGCAAACTCGGAAGAGACCCACGGGTCCAGCACTCACTCACCTCCTAGAAAGTCTTGACCCCAGCAACTGAGTCGCTCTCCTGTAGCTGAAGTGCCTGGACTATACACCCCTTCTGAACCACACTTCCCAGAATCCCAGAGAAAACAAGGGCTACAGCTCCACCCTTTGAGAGCGAAAGTGGCTTACTACCTGGTGCTCTAGGACTACACTTCCCAGAATCCTCGACAAGGTAGCTCTTACATTAGGTTGCCACTTTATTATTATTATTATATTTTTTAAGATTTTCTTGGGGAATTGGGGAAGGGGAACAGTGTTGGGGAATTGGGGAAGGGGAACAGCCAAGTTGTCCTTCAATCTTAGTTGTGGAAGGCTCAGCTAGCTCAGCTCCAAGTCCAGTCGCCATCCGGCCGCCCAAAGGATGTTCGTCGCCACTCAGCTCAAGGTGCTGTATTCAATCTTAGTTTCAGGTGGGCATAGCCCACCACCCCACGCAGGAGTCGAACTGGAAACCTTATTGCTAAAAGCGCACATTCTCACCAGCTGAACCATCCTGCCACCTGTTGGCAGCTCAGCTTGGGCGGAGCTCACTGGCCCATGTAGGAATCCAAACAGCGACCGTGTTGCCAGAGCTCACACTCTTAACCAACTGAGCCACTCGGCTGGCCTGGAAAATTCTTTACAGTCACCATTGGTTAAATCTTTGGCCACTGGTAATTGATTCAATTTCTAGCCCCACTTCCATCCCTGGAGGCCTGGGGGTGGGACTGAAAGTTCCAACCTTCTAATCACATGGTTGGTTCCATTGGCAACCAGCCCCCATCCCTAAATGCCTTCCAAGTCACCTCATTAAAACAGACACTCCTTTTCACCCCCAACACATAAGAAAACTCCAAGAGTTCTGGGACCTGTGAGCCAGAAATTGTGGATGGTAAGTTCACAATGGAAAAACCAGCTCACACCTACCTTAATCAAGTTAACATCACCTATAATGGGACAAACATGTTTCGTTGTGATGCACCAAGGACACATCACTTATGGAATCCTTGTGCCAAAATAATGCCTAATTTAAATCAAATCATGAGCAAATGTCAGACAAATCCAAATTTAAGAGACATTCAGAACTATCAAGGTCATTAAAAACAAAGACTGAGGTAGTCATCCAGATGAAAGGAGTCTAAATGCAATGTATAATCCTTGACTGGATTCTGGACCAGAAAAAAAGTGTGATAAATGTATTATTGGGTGATTGATAAAATTTGAATAAGGTCTGTAGGTTGGATAATGTTATGTATCAATATTAAATTTCCCTGAATATTATACTTGTAGCAGTATTAAGGAAATACCCTTGTTCTTAGGAAATATACACTTACGTGTTCAGATGTAAGGAGTAAGATGTCTGTAATAAAAAACAAACAATCCAATTAAAAAATGGGCAGAAGTCCTGAACAGACACTTCTCCCAAGAAGACACAAACGACCAACAGATATATGAAAAAATGCTCAACTTCACTAGCTATTATGGAAATGCAAATCAAAACCACAATGAGATATCATCTCACCCGTTAGAATGGTTACCATCAAGATAAATAATAACAAGTGTTGGAGAGGCTGTGGAGAAAAAGGAACCCTCATACACTGTTGGTGGGAATGCAGATTGATACAACCGCTATGGAAAACAGTATGGAGATTACTCAAAAAATTAAGAACAGAATTACCACATGACCCAGCAATCCTTCTGGGTATCTACCCCAAAAATCTGAAAACATTTATTCATAAAGATATATGTACTCCAATGTTCTTTGCAGCATTATTTATGGTGGCCAACATAATGGAAACTACCAAAGTGTCATTCGATAGATGATTTGATAAAGATGTGGTATATATATAAAATGCCATAAGATGAAATACTGCCATTTGTGACATGATGGATCTTGAGATTATTATGCTAGCAAAATAAGTCAGAAAAAGCTAACCATATGACTTCACTCATAGGTGGGATATAAAACTGAAAGCAACAAAGGAACAAGACAAAAGAACAAAAACTCAGACACAGACAATTTAGTGATTACCAGAGGGTAAGGGAGAGGGGAGATGGTAGAGGGTAAAGGGGGTCAAATATATGGAGATGGAAGAACTGACTCTCAGCAGTGAACACACAATGCAATACATAATGTATTATAGAATTGTACATTTGAAACCTATATAATTTTACTATTGTCACCCCAAGAAATTTAATTAAAAAAAAAATCTAACAAACTCATGGTTAAAAATGTGTACACTGGGCCGGCCGAGTGGCGCGATGGTTAAGAACTGGCTTGGGACGCCAGAGGGCCCTGGTTCGGATCCCACATATGAGGGCCAGTGACACTG